ATTTTATTTATATGAAATATAAATGTAAAATTTTAAATTATTTTAATAAATCTGACTATTTTGTTAAATATAAAAGATTTAATACTATTAAATATATATTTCAATAATAAAATTTTTTAATCAATTATAAAATAGGATTTTTATTTTACAATTTTTTTTTCAAAACTAATACAAATAATGTAAAATTAAAATAATTTGTTGGGCTAAGATTGGGTTACAACTTACAAATTTGTTTAAATAAAATAATTATACATTATAACTATATATATAAAAGATAGGAGAATAATGTTAATAACCAAATTCAAAATTAAAATCAAAATACCACACTACCGTGCCACGAACGTGATAGGTGGTTGGATGTCACATCGACGAGCCAATGGGTTTTTATGACTTACCTAAAAATTAAGTTAAAACTCTATTTTGACCTTTTTATTTTAATAAAAAAATATTTTTTTACTTTTTTTATTTAGAAAGTTTTTTTTTTAATTTTTCAAATTTATTATTTGGTTTTTTAATCATCTTATTATTTTTTTTACATGTGATATGTTAAATAAAGAAAATTTTAAAATAAGAGAATTAAAAAAGTTTTTTATTTTTTTATTTAAAAAAATCTCTTTTTGATCTATTTATTTTAATAAAATCTTTTTTAATCTTTTTATCTTGAAATTTTCATTATTTAATATGACATTTATATAAAAAATGACAGAGTAACTAAAGAAAAGTTAAGTAATAAACTTCAAAAGCTAAAAAAAAAAATTTCTTAAATAAGAACTAAAAATAAATTTTTATTAAAATAAAATGAGCAAAATAAAGTTTTAACCTAATATTTAGACACAGTCTGTTTGCTCAGGTCAAATTCAAGTATTGTTGACTCGACTTTTCCTTCCTCCTCTTGACTCCTTCATAATTTTCTGTGGCCAAAACTAAGGATGGCAACAGGTCCTTATTGGGACGAAGACTCCTTCCACATTCACATCCCCATCGATGGCAGGTACAGAGATCTTCACGGAGATTTTTTATGAAGATTCAAAAAAAATCTTTATCTCTATATCCGTGAAGAATGATAGGTCTCTATAGGTATTCAAAGTCATCGTCAAATAAAACTATTACCTGCTTCCTTGCTTGTTAATCAAAATTAAACTCAACATGAGTCTGCTTAGACTCCATTGATTTCCACATTCATCAAATAAAACTAGTTCAAATAATCATATAAAGTAAAATTTTGAAACAAAACAAACAAGCAGTAAATATACACAGTCAATATATACATGTCAAGGAAGTCCAGCAAGTCAGTAACAAGTTCATAAAAAAAAAAAAAAAGGCATAAACTGCCATATAAGTCCAACAAATCTAGCACAAGGTTCATAAATAATAAAAAAAAGGCATAAATTGCAACTGTCATAAGCAAAGTTCATAGAGAAAAAATGCATAAACTACTGCTATACATGTCTGACAATAAGTTCATTAGGAAAAAAGGCATAAAAGAGATGAGTTATTAACAACTGGTTGAGAGATTGGAGAAGAGTTATCGAGTTGAGTATGAGTGAGAGATGGGAGAAGATCAATGTTGCAGTGGTTGCACAATGAGTACTGACAGTGAAAGGTTGAAGGCAATCACAGATGAGGATTGAGGAGTAGAAATAGAGTTACAACTAGAGTTGCAGAGGAGATTGGAGAGGAGGAATCACACATTTTAAATTGAAATCTTTGGATAGTCTTTCTAGGGTTACCAATGCAAATTGGGCTGGGCAATTAGGTTCAGGAAGACTAGATTGACAAAAAGAATGAGTTGGACTTAACAATTAGGTTTGGGAAAACTAAAGAAAGAATGAGTTGTGCAATTTAGGTTGTATTGGTATTAAGATAGATAATTAGGTTGGGTAAATAAAAATTAATTGTTAATATATTTACAAATATATATATAAATTTTTTTTATTTTATATGGATTTCCACGGTTCTTCATGAGGTAAAAGAAATTCCTCACAAAATTTCACGAAAAAAAAATGCCTCCATATCTGCCCATTGAGAAGAATATTCTTAAAATCCCCATCCTCATAGTGGGATGTCCACGAAACTCCGCAAGTTGTGGAGAAAATTATCATCCCTAGCCAAAACCTTCTTTTTAGTTTTTTTCTTTCTTTCTTTCTTCTTTAAAGATAACATATTTTGTTCTCATAAAGAACTAGCCCTATATAATAAGTTAACTTTTTGTTTTTGTTTCTTTTCCATATCTCTTCATACCCCGTTTTCAAAATTTAAACCTAAAATATTTTCTATTTTAAGTCGGTCTTCTTTTTTCTTAACTGCAGCCTGCCCTTTTCTCTTTGATATTGAAAATTATTTTTATAGTTCAGTTGAACTCAAAAGATGATTAGGGGAAAGAGGATGAAACGAGTTTTTTCTCTCTTTTTTTTTTCCCAGCTGAAAATAGATATCATTTGATGTACAACAGTGTAATCGGGTAACTACAACTTATAAACCCCCGCATACTGACCCCAAACAGGGGAAAGGAAAACAAAATAGAAAAAGGGGTGAATAAAAAAAGTACAAAACTACCAGGAAAAAAAAAAAAAAGGAAAAAAAAGGAAAAAGAAGAAGAAGAAGAAAAGGCAAAGGGTTAGTGCTGTATCAACTCTGGGATGAGCTTCAAGAGAAATGCCAGCTCCTTCTGTGAGAACTGAGGCTTTGATTTGCCTTCACCCTCTTCACCAGCTGCCTCACAAGCTGAGGATTTTATCATGCCGCTCACTTGCTCTGAAATCTCTTTAACAAGATCCACAATCACTCCATCAATTCCCATCAAATGTTGCAGGTAAACAGCCTCCATCACATTGCTGAAAAATCAAACATAACCAACCACATGTTAGATTATTCAAATCAAGATGCACCTTGCATACATGTCAATCATTAGAAATTTCAATACTGACTTCAATTTGCCATATGTTAGGATGGAGAGCTTGGATTCTTTGATCTTGTTCACTGCTCCTGGATTTCTGAACACTCCTTTGACCTCTGAAACAATCCCTTCTAAACCTCCCTCCAAGCACACCTTTATGGCTTCCTCCAATGAATTCCTTCTCACATCATAGTAAAGCTCGGTACCTCCATCAGTCAAGAAAAATACCTGATCCGTACCAAAAACAATCAGCTAAATAAACATTTACATACCATTGAAGAAAATTTATAAGAATAAATGAGGTACGTAGCTTTAATAAAATTATAGACTACTTACAGGGTATGTGTCCTGTAGCTTCCTAACAAGCAGAGCAGCATCAGGATGGAAGCTAGAGAACATGATGGGTCTGCCTTGAGCGAACTCAAACACCACCTGCAGGACGGCCTGGAGAACACGTGTAAGATGGTCTTCTCCATAGACAATGTTGTCATCAAATTTTAGCTCAATATTGAAACCCAAAGAGGTCTCTACTTTCTGGAAAGCCTCCTGCAATGTACAAAGTGAGTCATCTGTTTCAACATCCCACTTGAGTATTCTCCCATCTTTTGCTTTCCTCAGCAAAGATTTCCCTTTCTTCTCTGGCTCTTTCTGAGGTCCATAGCTGAGGAATTCTGATAAACATAACTCTGTAACCCTCTTCTCAAAGACAGTACCCTGAAACTCCAAAAAAGAAGTATATTTATATATTAATACACATCCGGTTTAGAGTTAATCCTAGTTAAATAAAAAAAATTAATGGTAATAGTAAAAGAACGTTAGTGAGGATGATATGGACTTACATTATCTTCAGAAAGAATATAGTCGTCGTGGAAAATCACCGGGCAGCCATCTTTTGTCACCTACAATGATGAAAATTTTTATTAATCACTTGAATTTTTTTTTTTTT